GTAACCTGTGGAAGGTGAGTTTCCAACAAGGATGAGCAAGAAAAATGTTGCTGCCCCCATGAGATATTTTGAATTAAAAATTTTTTCAACTAGCTACTGCTGCGGCAGAAACCTCCAAAATAGTTCTTTTTGGACGAAACCTTGGCTGCAGGGACTGCGCGGGTCTTTGATCATGAACGTGAGATCTCATTTGTCATTGGCGCCATATGGCGCCAGCGGGCGCCACTCGCCAGCGATCTTCTTGGCACCGAATTGGGTACAAACTCGAACACCTGGGTTATTTGGCATCCTGGTCACGAATGTATCATTCCTTCTCAGTATTAACGCCGTTTGGTGATCTTGAGATGGTGAACAAGTGATAAAATATGGATAGTGGAAATAAAATATGGATAAATAGATAATAAAATATTGCTAGAAATCGCGAAAATCGATCTAAAGTGGGCGGAGCTAAGTGTGCGGAGCCTTATGCATCTTTGTGCAATTGCTTGTCTGTGAGCAATATGTGAAGAGTGTGTCTGAAAACGTCAATGTTGTATCCGGCTAGGTGTCGGTGTGGCCATCTATGAATCATTGTTATGTGTGAAAAGCAGAAAATTCCAAGAAAATTCTTAGAAACGGAAGTTATGGTACACATTTTGGAAATCACGATCGCGCTAAAAAGTGGGCGTGATCGCAGAGGGCGGGGCATGAGATGGCATCCAATAGGGTCAAGGATGGTTGAAATAGCAGTCCCTACACGATTGACTTATCATTTTGCGAAATTTGACATAGCGGCAAAAAAGTGGTCCACGAGGGACAATATGAGCCACCGGTGGCTCAGGGCGGACGCATGCGAAAGCACGCCATTGTCCCACGTGGCGCTTTCCCGCAAAACGCGATTGTCGTCAACGTGTTAATCGGATGGACGGTGAGGAAGGAGGGATGGGGGGGGGGGGTGTATGGAGGGACAGTTTTGAGTATACGTAGACCTACTGGACGACACATAAGTTGGAAGATTCCGTTGTCTAAACCAATTTTGATGCTCCTCATGTCTTATTTGTTGCTATTATTTGGCTAACATGTTAGAGAAGATATGTAGATGTTTGAGGACGTTGTTGCGTATCAATTATGCAGTTGTTGCGGAAATTGAGTTACATCCGTGTCGCGGGGTGCCTCTCGCTTTGCCCGACCCTTGAATTCTTTTTTTTCCTGACCACCCTCTGAATGCCCTCTGAATTGCACTTTTAAGTGTTCTAGACATTTGAATTCTACCATTAAATGGAAGTTTGACAATAGTCCATGTTTGATTTCATAGCAATCTTTGCATAATAGATATTGTTTTAGTAATTAATACTTCTACCCTCTCCAAGACTGAGCGACGTGGTTAAGCCTACATTTCGGCTTCTTCATGAGAGGGAGAGCCCGAAATGGTTAAACAACATTTTGAGACCTGCTCGCTCAAGCACTTGACAGTTCTCAAGACAGTTTCAACAAACCAGTATAAGCCAACAGTATCGATCGAGGGCAGAACGCTGGCTCACCTTGATCTTACGATTAGCCGTGTGGCGACGACCACCCTGTAGATGGCTTGAGCGTGCAGTAACCAATTTATGTTACTCCGCGCTTAAGCCATATACAGGACGACCAGTGATCTGTCCTCGCCCGATACCATCGAGTGATTTACTGGTTTGTTGAAATTGTCCTGAGAACTGTCAAGTGCCTGGGTAAGCAGGTCTCAAAATATCTTTTGTCCATTCCAGCAGGCTCTGACAGGGCACATCATTGGTTGGGGCTTTTGGTCTGTTCGACCCCACCCCTTTTTTGGGGCGAGCGGGGAAAGGGGGGGGGGGGAGGGGGAGGGCAAATAGCACATGTGAAACAGGAAAAGCCGCGAGACAATACGACCCCCCCCCCCCCTTCTACCAATTCTCAGATTTTCCCAACTTCCTGCCACTTTTTCCAAAATTTCCCGAAAACTTCCCTACTTTTTTCCCAAAAATTTTGCTGTCGAGCGGGGGGGGGGGAGGAGGGAAGGGAAGGGTGGAGGGGTGGAAGGGTATACAGTACACATGAAACAGGAAAAACCACGGAAAGTCAGCAACCTCTCTCAGAAAGCAATTACGATTCCCTCCCTCCCGACAGCGAGCAAGAACGGCCCCTGAAGCGGGAAAAATCCACCATCAAAATAAAGCCCAAATACGACCACCCCTCTCTCGGCGACCAAATACGACCCTCCCCCTCCCTCGCCACCCTCCTTGACCTGATGGGGATTCCTCAGCAACGATGTGCTCTGGGCTCTGAGGAAAACGACGAAATGTAGGCCCAATAAAGCCGCTCAACCCTAGGAAGTTTGACCTTTTCCCATCTTGTTCTGAAAAGGCTCCTTCATTTGGTGGCTCCTTGCGAAATTGAATAACGACATCGCTTTCACCATCAGTACACTGTCAGTTCCTTACATCGATACTATAGAGAGTAACAAATAGCATTGCGCGATTGAAACTAGTTTGTATACGCGCGAGATATCGCTGCATAAGAGCTTTCCGCGCAGATATCGATGTCCCACATTCATAGCCTATCAACTAAAGTCGAGTTTGATTATGTGCAATATAACGCAGTGAGTTTTTAGCTGACTTTTACGAAAATCGCTCCCATAATTTTTCCATCCTACCATATACAAATTCGATCATACTCGGTGATTTCAGGTGCAACGGGTGGAGTGACGAGGCGTTTCGCACATTTTTATGTTCACGGCCTGGACGTGTGGTCATCGCCATTTTCGTCATGCTCTTCATATATTTGACATGCATATGTTAGTTGAATTTTTTTGCATGTATGGAAAAGAGTCAAGAGTTTCGATGAATTTTGGGTTGCAGACGCATTTTGCGATTCTGCTATGGACCCTACGAAAACATTTCCTGATTTATCGAATTCTTTCCTTGTGCGTGTAGTAAGATCCGCATCATAGAGATAGTCCCACGCGTAGTCCTGCACTGAGTGACGAGGATGTATGCTCGTTTGCCCGACGGAATACCACCCGTAGAAGTCACCACATCCCTGTTGATGTTAGATATCTTTGCGGTATTGTACCCTGAGAGGCGGAGGTGGTGTAGTGACAAGTGGCGCGCTTACCACTCGCGCGGCGCCGGGTTCAAATCCCGGGTCGACTCCCGCCCAGGCCAACCAAGCCTTCTACCCTCCGGGGACGGTAAATTGGTACCAGATTCGTCTGGGAGGATAAAACACTGACTTGTACATCGGCTGGCCACCGCAAGTCATTGTATAGGCCACATCGCATTCAATAAGCCACTACGATTCTGAATGGAAGTAGAATGCGTGCCGCATCCCACAAAGGGATTGATCAACGGCGAAGACTTTATCCTTTATCCTTTATCCAGGAGACGAGGAGGGCGTGGCTGCCTACTCCATCCGAACATAGCGTCAAATGCTTTTTTTGTCGTATATTTCCATCTGGTACACCTGCGATCCTCTTTTGTGCCAATCAGAGACTTGATTAACGGTTTCTTGACGAAAATATCCCACCAAAAGTGCAGCCGCCGCCACGTTTAGGTGAAGTCTGTCATCTTGCTCGTCTTCCAGTCAGTGTACAGCATCGTTGTGTGAAACACATAGGGGATCGTACTGTTTCCTCTGGGGAGGGGGGTCGTATTTAGTCTTTAGGAGGGAGGAGGGGGGGTCTTGGGTGCCTTTGAAAGAAATTTGTCGCGTTGGTTTTCCGGTAGTTGACTTTTTTCGTGATTTTTACTGTTTCATGTGCACTATATACACCTCCCTTGACGGAAAATTTTTGGGTGAAAAACCTGCAAAAATTTGTCAGGTGTTGGGGAAAGGGGGGGGGGGTCTACCGAGACCTCATATAGGTGGGGTTCGTACCTACACCACTACCTCACATATCACGGTGCTGTACTCTGCTTTGTTCATCCAATGCTGGGACCTCATCTATGGCCAATTTGCCCGCTTTCTTCCCTGATAAGTCTTCAAATTAATATCTCTATTTGACTGTCGTGAAGTGAGTCTTTAAGCCCATTCGAAAATGTTTC